TCTTTTATTGATCTTCCTATTATTTCCTATTATTATCCTATTATTATTCCTATTATTATTTTGAGTTTCCTCAAGCCTTTTAGTGTTAATGACTTTCTACTGTTACATCTACATTGCTACTTACTTAAAACTATAAACAATTGCCTCTTGGATAATTTTCTACCTAATCTTTATCTGCTGTATTTCTCTAGACTTTATATTCTGCAAGTTAACTCCAAATCTGTACACTGTGATACCCCTCATTTGTTTACATCTAGACTTGTGTGCCAAGTGGCATTGTGTTAGTGATAGGTGCCTCTCTGTATTGTAGCCTAGAGTTGGTATATGGTTATGGGTCGCGAAGCAACACAGCTGGGAGTCCCAGCGCATCCCCAGCATCCCCCTCCTCATACCTCTCATCTCTCTCATATTCCAGGTAAATAACCTACCCAAAATTCCACAAGTGGTTTTGCTTGCAGTCATTTAATTTTGATATTAATAAATTAATAAATTCTGATAATGACATTTCCATGATTTTCACCGGTGCATTTTGAGCTTCCAGTATACAGTAATTAATCAAATATTATGTTATGTCTTTGTAATCATAGTAATTGAAAAATGTTTGGATAAACAGACCTTTATTCAATTGAATACCATATATAGTATTTCCAGTAATATTTTAAGCTATAATCCTTCTTCCAAATGACAGTAATAAATGCTTTGGTGTTTTCTTGCCAGCATGAAAACTAGTAAATGTCAATATGTATTAAATGCGTGAGGTTGCAAAGCTACGCATCGCTTGCACTTAAGCCCTGTTCTTGCTTTTTCATGGAACCTTATTGCAGAACTGTAGTATTCTAGCATAATACCCGGTAAATAATTTTTTGGTGCAACCAAATTTGGTACAACTAAATTTGGTTGTACCAAAATTGGTTGTACCAAAATTTGGTTGTACCAAAATTTGGTTGTACCAAAATTTGGTTGTACCAAAATTTGGTTGTATCAAATTTGGTTGTACAAAGTTTGGTACAACCAAATTTGTTGTGAAGGTTACCAATACAGTGGTACCTTGAGTTACGAACTTAATTCATTCCGGAAGCCTGTTCGAGTGCCGATACCGAACGAATTTGTTCCCATAAGGAATGATGTAAATTGGATTAGTCTGTTTCAGACCCCCAAAAATACACTTACAAAAGCACTTACAAAAATACACTTACTTAACCCTTTGAGGGTCGACAGGCCCTCTCCGAAACTCCGAAAATTATTTTCTCTTATGAAAAGATAGAGAATCTTTTCCCGATCATAACGACCCCAAAAATTTTTAAATTTTGATAGAAAACTTAGGGAAAATTATGCTCTCGCAAAGTTAGCGTTCGGCGAATGTTTCGGATCGGCGATTTTGACCACTTTGACCCCCCATTTTCGGCATTTCACTGACAGTCGACAAAAACATGAATATTCGCTGAACTCCTTTTTTATCGAAGGTGAAAGAAACCACCCATTTATAAATCCAACATCCAGTCGCGATTTAGCCAATTTTGCCATTTCAACAAATTTCAAAAGATCCAATCGAATATCCAAAAAAACAAAAAGACTTCCTGGCACTAAATGACATTTCATCTAGTCATTAGTCAATCTAAGCCCTCTTATTCTTTTGCTTTCACTTTGAATTTTTATTCTCACAAAAATACAGAATTTACTGTTTTTAAACTTAACCATAGTATAAAAAATGGTATAAATATATTGTCATTGATAAAGTATAGTATTTCAGAAATAAGCTATACTTTCCAATGACGTATTAGCTTGGTCACTTTTGATGAAATTGAATGTATTGGTAAAAATGAGATTTGCAACTTTGAGGCTACTTTCAAGGACCTTTCTTGCTTTTAAAACCGTCAAAAATCTCATTTCTAGATATCTCATCCTTATAAAATTTTTGGCAACAAGGAAACTAAAATTTGACAATGTTGACAAAATATGGTACCAAAATGGATTGCAAATGGTCCATTTATTAAAAAAATGGAAAAAGTTTTTTTTTTCATTAGCACGTGTGCTGCAGGATTTTTTAGAGTGCACCTCACATAGACCTTATTTCATTAAGCCTACCAGCTTATCCACGAATTTGAGGTCGCTAGAATTATGAATAGTACGTCAAAAACCCTACCGCGTAAGACGTACTAGTACGACGAAAACCCTCAAAGGGTTAATTGTTCAAATTGGGAGCTGTTCGAAACTCAAGGTACCACTGTATTAGTAGTCCTTGATAGCCAGAGTTTCAGTGTGTTTCTTTGCAAAGTTATTTTTAGTCTTATAATTGTAAAATGACTGCATCCTTGCAGGTGAGAAGTGTGGCTTATTTGTAAGTTTTACAATGTAGAATAACCAGTTTTGTGCCCACTACACAACATTGACTAGCTGTTAGAGCCTTCCTACCTCAAGATAGAGTAGGTCTTCCACAGGTTGATAATTGAAAGACTCCTCTGCCCATACTAAGTAGATAAAGTTAAAGCAAAGGCATTTTTAAATTATTCTCTTTTCCCTAATATGCATCTCTCATGTAATATTAAGGTCATCACTTTGTCAGTTTTGGGAAAACTAGAAACTTTGGAGCATTGTGATTGTAGTGTGAACATCATCTTTTGGGGTTGGGACTGTGGGTTATGCCACACATTACCTTTAAATTATTTTTTGACTTTGATATCTCAGGTAGGGTGACCCAAAAAGAAAAATGAAAGTTGTTTTTTTTCTTTAACATTTGGTAATTTATACACAAAGGGTTATTGACTGCATACTATATGTTTTGCAATTATTCTGTTAATGCTAGTGAATATTTATAATAATCTGTATTGGGCATCAGGTTGCACAAGCTGTCTCATACCCAAATATACAAGGGTTATAAACCTTCCATTCTCACACCATGAGTAATACTCACTTAGGTAGGAATATTTTGTGAGGCTGCTCAGCAACATTGTCGCCAGATGTGTTAATGGACTTTTAAAATAATGAGCAAAACCTACTGGGTAAGTTGTATTTTGAACACCTTCATTTTCAATGTATATTTCAGTATATTTGTTAATTGTTTACAGTGCTAGATTAGGTATATAGTAGAGTACTTCATTGATATTTTTATTTATTTTTTTGCTAATTTTTAACACTGTTAGATAAAAAGACACATGCAACTAAATCGATATTTTATTTTGGCAATGTTTCGCTGTCCAGGAGCTTTGTAACAGCTTGACAAGGCTCCTGGAGAGCAAAACGTTCCCACAGTAAAATGTCGCTTTAGTTGCACATGTGCCCTTTTACCTAACATATTGTCGCATTCCACCAACATTATTACAATTTTTAACATTAGTCTGACATAAGGGTCACTAGGACAGTCCTCCCCACTAGTCCAGGGTTTACTGTATTTGGTGTTTGGACAGTTTACAATAGTATATAAACTTACATTTGTGCTATACCAGGCAGATTTATCTGCATGTATTTATATTGTATTCTTACGTGTTTATATGTTGAATTAGAAAGTTGTTGGATTAATTTAGGCTAGAGAAATGTGTGGCAGTATGTTTATGTTATGTATTTATATTTTCGTAATTTTGTACACAGCTCTGTAATGACTGGTTCTGACCTTGGTGATGCCCTCATGACAAGACGATCATCAAGTGGTGGTCTGCTCTCTCCAGAAGTGGAGTCTCCTCGTACAGATGGGGTAATGGCTGCCAGGGCTACCACTTAATAATGTGTGGCGTGAGCATGTGTGGCATGATCATGTGAGATATGTGTACTGTGTGACATGATCATGTATGGTATGATGTATAGCAAGAACAAGTATGGCCTAATGTCATCTGACCATTTTTTTTTTCTTAATTTAGCAAACGCATGACTTTCTCCTAAATGGTAGTATTACATATGTAAAACATTTAATGAGAGCTTGCAGTACAGGGCAGGATGTTAAGGTAACTGCTGTGAAAAGGTTAACAAAGAAAACATAATGCCTGGTGTCACTAAAAGAGGAAGAGGGAAGGTGTGGTAGGAATGAGAAGTAAGGTAATGAAGATATGGATAAGAAAGGATTTAGAGAGGTAGGGAGGAGACGTGAGCATGTGGAGTGTTTGTGTTAGGGAAGAACAGAAGTCGGAAGAGGTGAGAAAAATTAAAATAGGGAATGGAAGCATTTTGAAGATTGTACTACATATTTCTTTATGATCCTTGGTGAAAGTTCATAAAAATTCTTTCAGATATCACACACATGAAATATTTAAAGTAATTTTCATACGTTACTTTCATGTGAAAACAGTTTTTGATAAAATACTGGAATGGACACTTACAGGAGCAAGATGGGTTCTACCTCTTAAAAAAGGATTCTCAGCGCCGCATGACTCTTACCCGAGTGCTCGTACATGACCAGCACAAGATTACTGAGAATCTGGTATCAAAGGCTTCAGCATGAGCTGGGCACTGATAAACTCCTACTTACTCAGGTTTTTATTTAAACTAGTTTTACATATGCTATTGAAAATATTTTAAGCACGGTTGCTCCTTGACTTACAATGGTTTGATTTTATGATGGTGCATAAGCAATTTCTTTGGAGATGAGGCTTGAAATATTTACCCAGCATGAGGGTGGCAAGTCTGTAACTTGTGTTTATTTATTTACTTTTCAGTACTGGTATTTAGTTAGTTACAGTAATGATTTGTTTATTTACTTATTCAGTTACAGTAGTTATTTATTTACTTATTTAGCATATTATATTCATTTTAAGATATTTTCAACTTATGGTTGGTTCATCAGAATGTAACCCCATCATAAGTCAAGAAGCACCTGTATATTCTGTGTATATATATAGTATTAAGCACCTGAAATTTCTACGTAATATTCTCAACTAATCAGATTGAAGCTGTTAGCTAGATAGCACTTGAGTCTGCCTGCCCTTAATCATTATCAAATTACAGTGAGGATTTAATAATGGTCTGGAACACAGCAGAATGTTGTCCAGTTTTATCTCTAAATTTGTGAGTTGGTTGTTAATTGTTTAAGCCATTATACTTACTTTCATTTTTTTCTGTAGTCAGTAATAAATATTTTACACATATGCAAGATTATTTTCAATGCTCTACTATAAGATATTCTGTACTAATTATAAGAAACTGTGAATGACATTAGCTGTGTTATTTCAGGAACACCTCCTTCACATCATGGTTGGTCTGCGAGATTTTATTCCAGAACATAAAAAGCTATCAATTGAACAAGCCTTTGCTACCCTGAAGGATGAAGTTAATTTTGAGGAGGCACTCAACCAAATAAATCTTGCACTCTACATCTTTCAAGATGCCGTAAGTGTCATGCATGTTTTACGTATTGTAAATGTCTTTATGTGAGTGATTTATAAGTAAAGCTTCATACAGTACAGTATTAGTTATTTTAATGATGTCACTACAGTTTTGTTGTATTAGAATCTGGCTAAAGTTGTGTGATAGATCACTGTGCAATCTCATGGATCCAGAGTTCAACATGATTAAGTATTGTGTAAGTATGTTACTCAGGAGACCTTCAGAGGTTTTGTATACTGGGCTTGAATATACAACAGATATGTGTGAGCATGTTAGACAGGAGTGAGTGGAGGCAAGTGGCTTTTATGATTTGGGTGCTGATGGAGTATGAGAAAGGTAACATAAAGGGATTCATGGAAACTGGTTAGCTGGACTTTAGTCCTGGAGATGAGAAGTACAGTGACTGCACTCTGAAGAAAAGGTGGGGATATTGCAGTTTAAAGGGGCATCTGAACTGTAGTATTGGCATGCCTCTGGCAAGACAGTGGTGGTTTAAGCATTTTTTTTCTTTTGGATCACCTTACCTTGATGGGAGATGGCTGGTGTGTTAAAAAACTTCAGAGGACTCTTTATCTTTTCTCAGAAAGATGCCTGTGGTTAGTTTATAGAATCAAATGAAACTTATTGACTATTGATTTTTTAAAATGACTAAATAATTTTGATTATGTTATCTAGTCAGGAAGGTTTAACTGTTAATGTGATGCAACTCCTTAGAGAAGAAAATTATAAATCATATATGTATAACAACCAGGTAAATGAAGTGCTGAAAAGTCACAGCATCAAGCCACACTGGATGTTTGCCCTGGATGACTTAATACGTAGTGCTGTCCACTGTGCAATAATGGTCTTGTCACCGGGTAAGAATATGAATAATTTTTGGCACTTCTTAACTTGACCCACTTTTTTAGTCTTGTTTCCATCTTTTTTTCATCATTCCAGGATTTCACCTTTTTTTACCATTCTTTTTAGTTCACCTTTTCCTTATTTTGAACTGAACATTTGATTCTATTTTTGTATGCTATGTTTCAACACTTTTTCTATATTTTGTTTTTTATCTGGCATTTGTAATATTTTAATCAGTTTTGTTGTTCTGAAATAATGCTTTAAATAATCATATTTTTCTCTTATGATTTAGTCAATCCTGCATGCTTTTTTGTTTTTTTCTAATGTTTTAAATAATACTCTTCATTTATATATTGCAAATAGCACTACTTCATTGTGTTTTTTACAAACTGCATTAGTTGCTTTTTGACCAACTGTCCCATGGAAAAGTTATTGTGGGTGAGTTCAGTACTCATCATCTTCAGTGAATATGCCTTAGGATGAGCAGTAGAAGTAAGCATATGCCAAATTAGTTTTAAATTCACTTTTTTTACCTGTTTTATGCAATGTTGTTATTGCTGTTAGTTTATCATGTGTAATATGCAGGCCCCACACCTCTTTTGGGTCAACATATCTTGATGGAGGTCATCTGGTGTGTTAAAAAAAATTAATTTGCTTTTCATATCTAAATGTTGATAAGAATTCTTCCCAAATAATTTAGATGTTTCATCATTCCCATAGAGCAAGATATATTGCTTGGTCCTGGTGATGGAGGTGCAGGTGTACTCATTGGGGGCCCTGATCGACCCAGGGACCTTGTTGAGGAAGGCAGCACTTCGGGGGTCTCCACCATAAATTCCACAAAGTCTGCTAAGCTACTTCATGACTTTCATCACTCCAAACATTGTCACCACCTTCAAGAGAGCCTGCAGGCTACTAGAATTGAGAATCTTCGGTTAGTGTGATATGGATTCAGTACTAGATAGATTAGAATCGTGTGTATTTCTCACAGTACATCTGTATTTTTTGACTGTGCTCTGATATGTCAGCTTCATTATTTGTTAAAATTTAGACGAGTATTGGATTCAGTCTTCTTTCTTTCAACAAACCGGCCATATCCCACCAAAGCAGGGTGGCCCAAAAATAAAAACAAAATTTTCTCTTTTAACATTAGTAATACATACAGGAGAAGGGGTTACTAGCCTCTTGCTCACAGCATTTTAGTTTCCTCTTATGACACGCATGGCTTACAGAGGAAGAATTCTGTTCCACTTCCCCATGGAGATAAGAGGAAATAAACAGATAAGAACTACATAGTAAGAAAAATAGAAGAAAACCCAGAGGGGTGTGTATATATATGCTTGTACATGCAAGTGTAGTGTGACCTAAGTGAAAGTAGAAGTAGCAGGACATAACTGAAACCTTGCATTTTTTTTTTTCAACAAACTGGCTGTATCCCACCAAGGTAGGGTGGCCCAAAAAGAAAAATGAAAGTTTTTCTTTTTAAATTTAGTAATTTGTACAGGAGAAGGGGTTACTAGCCCCTTGCTCCCGGCATTTCAGTCGCCTCTTACAACACACATGGCTTATGGAGGAAGAATTCTGTTCCACTTCCCCATGGAGATAAGAGGAAATAAACAAGAACAAGAACTATAAAGAAAATAGCAGAAAACCCAGAGGGGTGTGTATATATATGCTTGTGTGGTGCATTGAGGTATATGTGGAGTCAAAAAACGTTATCTATGGAGGCAAACAAGGGAATGTATGAAAGTATAGTAGTACCAACACTCTTATATGGATGTGAGGCTTGGGTGGTAAATGCAGCAGAGAGAAGATGGTTGGAGGCAGTGGAGATGTCCTGTCTAAGGGCAATGTGTGGTGTAAATATTATGCAGAAAATTCGGAGTGTGGAAATTAGGTAAAGGTGTGGAGTTAATAAAAGCATTAGTCAGAGGGCAGAAGAGGGGTTGTTGAGGTGGTTTGGTCATTTAGAGAGAATGGATCAAAGTAGGGGTAGGGGTCGTCCTCGAAAGGGTTGGAGAGAGGGGGTAAAGGAGGTTTTGTGGGCGAGGGGCTTGGACTTCCAGCAAGCGTGTGTGAGCGTGTTAGGAGTGAATGGAGACGAATGGTACTTGGGACCTGACGATCTGTTGGAGTGTGAGCAGGGTAATATTTAGTGAAGGGATTCAGGGAAACCGGTTATTTTCATATTGTCGGACTTGAGTCCTGGAAATGGGGAGTACAATGCCTGCACTTTAAAGGAGGGGTTTGGGATATTGGCAGTTTGGAGGGATATGTTGTGTATCTTTATACGTATATGCTTCTAAACTGTTGTATTCTGAGCACCTCTGCAAAAACAGTGATAATGTGTGAGTGTGGTGAAAGTGTTGATTGATGATGAAAGTATTTTCTTTTTGGGGATTTTCTTTCTTTTTTGGGTCACCCTGCCTCGGTGGGAGACGGCCGACTTGTTGAAAAAAACAAACAAAAAAAACATGTATTTGTTCTCCATGGGGAAGTGGAACAGAATTCTTCCTCCATAAGCCATGCGTGTCGTAAGAGGCGACTGAAATGCCGGGAGCAAGGGGCTAGTAACCCCTTCTGTATATATTACTAAATTTGAAAGGAGAAACTTTCGTTTTTCCTTTTGGGCCACCCCACCTCGGTGGGATATGGCCGGTGTGTTGAAAGAAGAAGAACGTGTATTTGTAGTGTGACCTAAGTGTAAGAAGTAGTAGCAAGACGTACCTGAAATCTTGCATGTTTATGAGATAGAAAAAAGACGCCAGCAGTCCTACCATAATGTAAAACAATTACAGGCTTCCGTTTTACACTCGCTTGGCAGGACAGTAGTACCTCCCTGGGCGGTTGCTGCCTACCAACCTACTACCTTGGTATTGTATACATATTAGGCCTTTAATGAGAGGTAGGAATGTTATCATTTGGCAGGTCATTTTAATTATAATGTCTGTGGTCTTCTAGTAAGACAGTTTCTTTTTGGATCACCCTACCTTGGTGGGAGACGGCTACTGTTTTAAAAAAATGAGTGTAATGCTGTTTCTTTTCTGAATCCTAAAAACATTGTTTAAAGCCTTTGTTGAAGATCTTCTTTGAACATACCAGCCGTATCCCACCGAGGTGGAGTGGCCCAAAAGGAAAAACGAAAGTTTCTCCTTTCAAATTTAGTAATATATACAGGAGAAGGGGTTACTGGCCTCTTGCTCCTGGCATTTCAGTCGCCTCTTACAACACGCATGGCTTACGGAGGTAGAATTCTGTTCCACTTCCCCATGGAATAAGAGGAAATAAACAAGAAGAAGAACTAGAAAGAAAATAGAAGAAAACCCAGTGTGGTATGTATGGATATATAGTGGTCCCTCGTTGTTCGTAATTAATCCGTTCCTGGAGCCGTTACTATAAACGAAATTTACGATTTACGAATCAATTTTCCCCATAAGAAATATGTAAATACAATTAATCCATTCCTGACACCCAGAAGTATTAAAACAAAAAATTTTTTAACATGAAATATGCATGTAGTACATAAACAATACAATGGGAAATGATGAATGAAACATTAACAGCATAACACTTACCTTTATTGGAGATTCTTCTTAGTGTATGGGAGACTGGAGGAGAGAGAGTGGATTGTTTATAGTTTGGAAGGGGAATCCCCTTCCATCAACACCTCAGGTACCATTTGCTTTTCTGGGGTTGCTTCTCTTCTCTGTTTCTTAATGCCACTAGAACCACCTTGAGAGTCACTGGAGTCCTGTCTCACAAAATAACTGTGGAGAGAGCTCTGTTTCTGGCGTCTCTTTAACACTTCCCTAAAATGGCCCAAGACTTTGTCACTATACATGTTGCCAACCTGGCTTGCAACAACCTTGTTAGGGTGATGTTTCTCCATAAAGCTTTCCATCTTACCCCACATAGTAAAAATCTCTTAAATTTCTGAAGAAGGCACCTTCTTCCATCTCTCTTCCTCCTCCTCTGCAGCAAGATTCTGAGCTGCGATGTGTTGCTCTTCCTGCTGAAGCTCTTGCAGCTCCTCAGTGGTGAGCTCTTCATTGTGGTCTTCCACCAATTCTTCCACATCCTCCAAACTCACATCCAACCCCATGGAACTCCCCAGTGCCACAATTGATTTTTCAACAGATATAGGCTCATTAGGGTCAGTCCCAAATTCTTCAAAATCCCTCTTGTCGACACAATCTGGCCACAATTTTCTCCAGGCAGTGTTCAAAGTCCTGGTAGTCACTCCCTCCCAAGCCATACCTATAAGGGTTATGCAGGGGAGGATGCTGAAGTGTTCTCTCCAAAATTCCCTTAGGGTCAAGTGAGTGTCTGTGGTCACAGTCAAGCACCTGTGAAACATTGCTTTTGTGTAGAGTTTTTTAAAGTTTGCAATAACCTGCTGGTCCATGGGTTGGAGGAGAGGAGTGGTATTCGGGGCAAGAACTTTACTGTGATGAACCCAAACTCTCGAAAATTAGGTCATCCAAGTTTGGAGGATGAGCAGGTGCATTCTCCATTACTAGCAGGCACTTGAGATCCAATTTCTTTTCCAGGAGATACTCCTTCACACTAGGACCAAACACTTCATTGAACCACTCGACGAAAATTTCCCTCGTGACCCATGCCTTACTATTAGATTTCCAAAACACACACAATTTACTCTTCATAACATTGTTTTTCCTGAACACTCTGGGATTTTCAGAATGGTACACTAGTAATGGCTTCACTTTGAAATCCCCACTAGCATTAGCACAGAACATTAGCGTCAGCCTGTCTTTCATAGGCTTGTGTCCTGGCATTGCCTTTTCCTCTTGTGTAATGAAGGTCCTCTTTGGCATTTTCTTCCAAAAGAGGCCTGTTTCGTCACAGTTGAACACTTGTTCAGGTTTCAGTCCTTCAGCCTCTATGTACTCCTGGAATTCATGCACATATTTTCAGATACTTGGGAGTTGACGTGTCGGCGGATGGGTTTATGAAGGATGAGGTTAATCATAGAATTGATGAGGGAAAAAAGGTGAGTGGTGCGTTGAGGTATATGTGGAGTCAAAAAACGTTATCTATGGAGGCAAAGAAGGGAATGTATGAAAGTATAGTAGTACCAACACTCTCATATGGATGTGAAGCTTGAGGTACGGGATTACCAAAACTGTTGTCCAGAGGGCTGAGGAAGGGCTGTTGAGGTGATTCGGACATGTAGAGAGAATGGAGCGAAACAGAATGACTTCAAGAGTGTATCAGTCTGTAGTGGAAGGAAGGCGGGGTAGGGGTCGGCCTAGGAAAGGTTGGAGAGAGGGGATAAAGGAGGTTTTGTGTGCGAGGGGCTTGGACTTCCAGCAGGCATGCGTGAGCGTGTTTGATAGGAGTGAATGGAGACAAATGGTTTTTAATACTTGACGTGCTGTTGGAGTGTGAGCAAAGTAACATTTATGAAGGGGTTCAGGGAAACCGGCAGGCTGGACTTGAGTCCTGGAGATGGGAAGTACAGTGCCTGCACTCTGAAGGAGGGGTGTTAATGTTGCAGTTTAAAAACTGTAGTGTAAAGCACCCTTCTGGCAAGACAGTGATGGAGTGAATGATGGTGAAAGTTTTTCTTTTTCGGGCCACCCTGCCTTGGTGGGAATCGGCCAGTGTGATAATAAAAATAAAAAAACCTCTATGATTGGCGAATTTTACGATTGCCGGGAACTATGAAAAGCGGGGGACCACTGTATATGCTTGTACATGTATGTGTAGTGTGACCTAAGTGTAAGTAGAAGTAGCAAGATAAACCTGAAATCTTGCATGTTTATGAGACAAAAAAAAGACACCAGCAGTCCTACCATCATGTAAAACAATTACAGGTTTCCATTTTACACTCACTTAGGAGGATGGTAGTACCTTCCTGGGCAGTTGCTGTCTACCAACCTACTACCTAGGTTTGTTGCAGAGATCTTCATGAAACTTATTAAAGCAGCCACTATTTCTGTGAAAGAGGGATGATGCAATCTGACACTCTACATCATACTCTATGGGTCATAAGTTTAAACCCATATTCCTCTCTGACATTGTTAAATTCACTGTAGTACAGGTTTTGAGTTTGTACATCCTTGTGGAAGCTTATGTGAATTATTTGTGAGGAATGAGGCCTTCATTCTCAGAGAAGTTGGTAATGAGAAGACAATCTCCTGTGTTTGTCATGTATCAAATGTAACATAAATCAATCCACCTTTAGCAATTTTTTTTTTATGTAGAATGACTGGTAAATAAGCACATCACAAAATTAATACTAGTATATTTTAACTGTTTACTAACACTGAATTTTAACAACAGGTTATTGGAGGAGCTGTACTTGTCTGAAAAAACAAAAAACT